AAAATCTTGAAATATATCAACTTCTCTTTTTATTAGAATGAAAAACATGAGGGCTTTTCACACATGAAATAATAAACACTGGGTGAATGTAAACTCCAGGTAAACTGAATGCTGGTTTATCTTGCTTCATGTTTCACACAGAATATAATTTACCTGGGATTGACAAATAATCCTGGGTTTTCATACGCTGCTGTTTTACACTACATTACTAAACCCCAGGTAAACATCCTTATATGCACATTTTCTGCATCAGTGTCACTGATTGGACAGACACTGCATGCGATATGATACAAAAATGCCCAAGCACTGCACATCCTCATATTACATACAGCTGACTTTAATATCAAGTTTATCCTGAAGGTACTTTTTTAGATTATAAAAGTAAGAAATATACAGTCTCTTCTTGACCCTGACTGTTGTGTTTTCTGTCAGCATTTGACATTTTTGACATCCTGTCAAATGCTGAATTTAATTTACTGTTTTTATACAGTGCTTATTTTTGCAGTGACTGCCCAAAGCACTTGAATATGAGGCAGGCAATTGGTTGTCGGTCTATTGATAAAGGGTTAACAATGCTAAAGCCGTAGAAACCCTTCTCTGGAGTAGGCTTTCATTACACCAAGTAAAAGTGGTGCTAACCCCCATTACAGGTGTGACATGTTCTTTACTTGGGGTTAAAAGTGATGTGTTTACACTGTATTTATTTATTTATTGGGGGGGGGGGAGATCTGTTAACATTGTATTTTTCCCCTCCATGTGCATGTCCTTTCATGCAAATATGATTTATCGCGTTAGAGAATTTTGCAGTTAAAAGGTATCTCTTTATCTCTCTCTCCTGGCCATTTGACTATAAATGAAGTTATTTTTTCACAGGAAACTTTTTTACACTTCTCTCCTGAAGAAGCCACAGATAACAGAAGACCCCTGTCTGCACTGCAGTCGGATGACTTTGCAACAACCAAAAGTCTTCAGAGTTTTAGTGGAAGAGCCGTGCTTTCTAAAATTGAAAGAGGAAGACCAGGAAAAAGGCCTTCTTCAGCTTTCACAGTCTGAAATCGATGATGACCGACAACTGGCCAAAGAGCCTTTAGCCTTTCGCCCTTCGCTACTTAAATGGAAAAGTACATTTTATTAAAATTTAATATATTTTGTGTTTTGATTTTTGGGTTTGATGGATCAGAATTTGCTTGCTTCAATCATGTGTAGAATTGTGTAATGTGTATGAAAAAATTGTTCATTTTGAAATGGTTGAGTAAAAACATACATTTTATTTCAAATAAAGTGTTCAAATGCTTAAGCTTTGTTTTAATTTTTAGTGTTTTATTCTTTGTGTTCAGTATTAAGTTAAGACATAAAACAAGATGATAAACTTTTAACTTTAAAAACACTTAAAGGGATACAAGGGGTGTGTGTGTATATATATATGTGTGTGTGTGTATGTATTTATGTGCACAGTGCTTAAATTTATTAGATCACCTGTCATGAGTTAATAAATAAAGAGAAAACACATTAACAAATATTTTAAGAAAAAAAATATTGTCATTTATTAGGCAAATAACAAACTGGAGTGAGGAATGTCAAATTAAATTAGCATTTTTATTGAGCCAGCACATTTAACCTCTGAAGTCAGAAATTGATCAACTGTAACATTCAACCATTAAAATAGTATTATTTTATGTAACGACTGCAAGTAAATAACTGTAATTGGGCATCTAAATAAAAATAATAATATGCTTTTTGTTTTCTGACTTGTAAAACAGTAAATTCGAAAATTCATAGATAATAATTATATTTTAGTTTATGTGCACAGTGCTTAAATTTATTAGATCACCTGTCATGAGTTAATAAATAAAGAGAAAACACATTAACAAATATTTTAAGAAAAAAAATATTGTCATTTATTAGGCAAATAACAAACTGGAGTGAGGAATGTCAAATTAAATTAGCATTTTTATTGAGCCAGCACATTTAACCTCTGAAGTCAGAAATTGATCAACTGTAACATTCAACCATTAAAATAGTAAGTATTTATGTAACGACTGCAAGTAAATAACTGTAATTGGGCATCTAAATAAAAATAATAATATGCTTTTTGTTTTCTGACTTGTAAAACAGTAAATTCGAAAATTCATAGATAATAATTATATTTTAGCATTAGAGTTACTACTGTGACTGAAGAGCTTACACACAGTCTACTGGTGGATTAAGTATTACAGAAACACAAAACATAATTTTGGTAATCACCGGCTACCACTGACCCGCGCAGAGCTTTTTGCAGGAGCCCGCTCAGATGTGCGTCCAACTTTCTCCACTCCTCAGCCTCGTTGGCCTTTGGCCACTTGATCTTGTTCCTTCGGAGTGGGTTCTTCAGGTTCCTGGCCCTTTGGCTCAACTCTGTTCTTGGGGGTGCTACTGAGTTCACTTCTTGGGGTTCATCAACATCCCTTTCTTCCTCCTCCTTCCTTTCCTCCTGCTCTGCCTCTGCAACATTGGGCCCGTTGGCACTGTGGTTGTCAACCCGGCCTTGGATCCCATTTGTCTGACCTGCCCACACCGGGGCAGTGCAAGGTTGCATCAGGCTACCACCACCACACTTCTTCTTTCCCATGTGGATGTGAAGTCCCCTCAGAGTTGTTGTTAGAGTTACTACTGTGACTGAAGAGCTTACACACAGCCTACTGGTGGATTAAGTATTACAAAAACATAATTTTGGTAATCACCAGTACTAATTTCAAATATATAGTTTTATTTAAAATACTTGGCAATATCATGGTTTTAGTCTTTGAAACGCTTCCAATGGAGCAATGCGTATTCGGATAAAATAGCTTAGCCCACTACCGGCCTCAGACTGTTGGCCTGGCGCTGCTGTCCTCAGACCTTAGACCCTTCTCGATTTTTTAGCCGATCACTGGGGATATCCCCGAAAAAACAAAAGAACAGGGGTGATGCACCGGTGATGACACAGTAAGCAGGGTCTTACATATTGTGGCACTAACCCCACCAAACAGAACAGTGGCCAAAAGTGATGCGTGGTTTTTTTTTTTTCTCTGACCCCACATTTCACTTAAACCATCAAAATATGAAGGAAAAAAAACACTGACCAGTGTTGCCAACTGCTTTCAATTGAAAGAAGCTAAAACTGGTCACTTAATGTTGCTAGATGACCTCATAAAGGTGAGTTCACTGATCTATATTTATATTTATATAGATCAGTGAACTCGCCTTTATAACGTCATGGGAGAGTCTCGGAATGTAGATAAGGTTTGTCCAAGAAATTGATTTTGATTTTGGAAGTCACTAAATCTAGTGACAAAATCACTAAATTGGCAACATTGGCACACTGACTACAACATACGTTATTTACATTTCATTGGTCCTCTTGTTTTTGCATGTGTTCATAATTTCTTTGTATAACAGCATGGCCAAAAAATTATGACCGCACAATTTGGCATGTTTCATTGCATTATTATCACAAATAAAA